CTGTCATGCTGGTTGTCTGAAGGAAACACCTTACTGCCTTCACACCTCTGTACAGTCAGCAGTACGACTTCGCCTTCGGACCTTGGGTTTGCTGCTTTTAGTCTCACCGCTCTTCAACCGACCTGTCTGGCATGGTAGGACCTTGAGGAACGATTGTTCCAGCCAGCATAGCTCGATTGGATCATCACGATAGGCAAGCCCGAACACCACGTCAAGGTAGCAGCAACGATCGGGAATCACTAGGATATAACAGTTACAAATACATTTAGACTGTCAATCCTTTTGAGAACGTTTAGTAAATCTTAAAACTCGACTAATTAGTCACTTTAATGACCAATTTTAGCAAATTTTCTTGTAGTTTCTATAACAACATCATAATTTTTGTCCCTTAAAAATCCTCACGATTACCTGGAGACTTCTACTACTGGAAGTTATACTACTGTTATAGTTTGTTCAAAAACTAAGAATACTAGATTCATAGTTTAAATCGTAAATATTTGGTTTACCACATTAGACAAGCCCGAATCAAATGAAAAGTAGTAGGTAAGCCTAATGAAATTACGACAATATATGATAGGGCAAGAATTAGGCTTAACAGTTAGACACTTTTAGAGAATAAGTGACCTACAAACTGATTTTGTTCGATCGCCTATAATAACCAATCGTTTTATGTGCTTGTAAACATTTTATGCATAGGTATACTAAATACAAATATTTAATTGTTATAGCTATGGGTCTTGTTTTCTAATATCAGTTCAGTTGATGACTTGTCTCAATAACTTGGTCTTATAAGTAGCTATCATAAGGCCACATAGTAGCATCCCATTTCATCTACTATTAACATAAAGTTTTTCAGCTTAAGGACAAAAGTATTGTAGAGACATGCAATATCTGATATTGACTTACTTACTTACTTACGCCTGTTACCCCTCGTCGAGGAGCATAGGCCGCTCACCAGCATTCTCCATCCAACTCTGTCCTGAGCCTTCCTTTCCAGTTCTTTCCAGTTGCTATTCATCCTTTTCATATCGGCTTCTATTTCCCGGCGTAGTGTGTTCTTTGGCCTTCCTCTTTTCCGCTTCCCTTCCGGATTCCAAGTTAGGGATTGAGTCGTGATGCACATTGGTGATTTCCTTAATGTATGTCCGATCCACTTCCAACGTCTTTTCCCTATTTCCTCTTCAGCTGGAAGCTGGTTTGTCCTCTCCCATAAAACGCTGTTGCTGATAGTATCCGGCCAATGGATGTTGAGTATTTTGCGTAGACAACTGTTTATAAATACTTGTACCTTCCTGATGATGGCCGTAGTAGTTCTCCACGTTTCAGCTCCATACAGTAGGACTGTCTTGACGTTCGTATTAAAGATTCTGACCTTGAAATTGGTTGAGAGTTGTTTTGAGTTCCATATGTTCTTCAAATGTAGAAATGCTGCCCTTGCTCTGCCAATCCTTGCCTTTACATCTGCATCCGATCCTCCTTGTTTATCAACGATGCTCCCCAGGTACTTGAATGTTTCCACCTCTTCCAGAGTTTCGCCATCAAGTGTGATTGGGTCGGTGTTCTCCGTGTTGCATTTGAGAATCTTGCTTTTTCCTTTGTGAATGTGGAGGCCTATCGATGCGGAGGCTGCTGCTACATTTGCTGTCTTCATCTGCATTTGGTCGTGTGTATGAGAGAGGAGGGCTAGGTCATCTGCGAAGTCCAAATCATCTAATTGATTCTGAGAAGTCCATTGTATTCCGTATTTCCCTTCAGATGTCGAATTCGTCATAATCCAGTCAATCACTAGAAGGAAGAGAAATGGGGAGAGCAGACAGCCTTGTCTGACTCCGGTCCTTACTGGAAATGCATCTGTCAGCTGTCCTCCATGCACCACTTTGCACTGTAATCCGTCGTATGAGTTTTGGATAATGTTGACGATCTTCTGAGGAACTCCATAGTGTCGAAGAAGTTTCCACAATGTTCTCCTATCCACGCTGTCAAACGCCTTCTCATAGTCGATGAAGTTGACGTATAGTGATGAGTTCCACTCAACTGATTGTTCAACGATGATCCGTAGTGTCGCAATCTGGTCTGTGCACGACCGATCCTTACGGAATCCCTAAGTTCGGCGTCTACTGCGTCTTTCATCCGATTCAGCAGCACTCTGTTGAAAACTTTTCCTGGTACTGATAACAAACTGATACCTCTGTAGTTCTCACATTTGCTCAGATCTCCTTTCTTTGGTATCTTGATGAGATATCCTTCTTTCCAGTCCATTGGCACTTGTTCCTCTTCCCAAATCTTTTTGAATAGAAGGTGAAGCATGTTTGCAGTTATTTCAATGTCTGACTTCAGTGCTTCTGCTGGTATATTGTCAGGTCCTGCCGCCTTCCCACTTTTGATTTGTCTGATGGCCATCTTGACTTCTTCGATCGTTGGTGGAGTGACATCTATTGGAAGGTCAGTGTGGGCTGCTTCGATGTTCGGTGGATTCGATGGGGCGGGTCTATTCAGCAGTTCCTCAAAGTATTCTGCCCATCTTTTCCTCTGTTCCTGAATCTCAGTGATTGTCTTTCCTTCTTTGTCTTTGACTGGTCTCTCTGGTTTGCTATATCTCCCTGCCAATTTCTTCGTTGTATCATATAGTTGTTTCATATTCCCTTCTCTTGCAGCTTTTTCCGCCGCCGTTGCTAGTTCTCCCATGTATTTCTGCTTTAATGCTTTTCTTCACTTCTCTGTTTGCTTCTGCGTAGTCTGCTTGTGCTTTGACTTTCTCTGCTCGTGTTCGGCTGTTGTTAATTGCTAGTTTCTTGTTCTTCCTTTCTTGAAGTTTGTCCAGGGTCCCCATAGAGATCCATTCCTTGTGATGGTGCTTCTTAGGACCAAGAACCTCCTGACACGTTGAAGTTAGTGCTTCTTTTATCCCTTTCCAGTTGTCCTCCAAAGTAGTTTCTTGTTCTTTCAGTAGATCCTGTAGAGCTTGGAACCTGTTGTTGAGAGTTATCTTGAATTCATGGAGTTTGTCAGTATCTCGAAGGAAGGCTGTATTAAACCTTTGTAGTGCTGTTTGTCCAGTTGTCCAGTCTTTCTTTAGCTTCAGTCTCATCTTGGCCACAACCAGGTGGTGATCTGAAGCTATGTCAGCTCCTCTCCGGGTTCTCACATCTTCCATTGATCTTCGGAATTTTTTGTTGATACAGATGTGATCAATCTGGTTCTCTGTGGTGTGGTCCGGTGAGATCCATGTAGCTGTGTGTATGCGTTTGTGGGGGAATATTGTGCCGCCTATAACCAATTTGTTGAAAGCACATAGGTTTGCAAGTCTCTCCCCATTTTCATTTCTCTCTCCTAGTCCATGTCGTCCAATTACATCTTCATATCCTGTGTTGTCCACTCCAACTTTAGCATTTAGATCTCCCATCAGGATGGTGAGGTCCTTTCGTGAGCACTTTGCTATAATTGATTGCAGCCTTTCATAGAACTGATCTTTATCATCGTCGTTGCTATCATTGGTGGGTGCATAACATTGGATAACATTCATTGTGATCCCTTGCTTCTTTGTTTTGAATGATGCTTTGATTATCCTGGGTCCATGAGATTCCCATCCCACAAGTGCATTTCGTGCTTCTCTGGACAGCATTAGAGCAACTCCCTGAGTGTGTGGCGCATTTTCCCCTTCGTGACCGGAGTACAGCAGCATCTCTCCTGTACCTAGCCTTTGTTGTCCAGTTTGTGTCCAATGGGTTTCGCTGATTCCGAGTACTGCCAAGTTGTATCTCCTCATTTCCATTGCTATTTGGCTGGTCTTTCCTGTTTCCCACATTGTCCGGGCGTTCCATGTACCTATAAAGAGTGTTGCTCTGGTTGTTAGAAGGTGCATCGGTCTCGTGACTTCCGAAGAATTTCGGCTTTCATCATGAGACGTCATTATTCCTTCAACTCCCAGGGCAGAGTTTAAATGGTTTGGATTATTTTTTCTGGTTAGCGTTTTTTAGCGAGTTAGCTTTTCTACGGGATGGGGTCGCTAACCCCATGCCCAACCCTCCTCCTTTACCCGGGCTTGGGACCGGCAGTAACTCTAGAAGAGCTACAGGCGGAGTTATCTGATATTGAGACTGATACGAAATCTTCCCATGCACTAGCTCAACTGGCTAGTCGAGTGAAACAACCAACATTGAGAAAGGAATTCTATTGACCAACCGAATAGTCATGTATGTGTGCCCCCAAATGCTCTGGTATGGTCGAGAGTGGGGAGAGTCTCCTCTCCCTCTCCAAATCCTCTCTCATGGTCACGCGAATATATAGCCTCTGCCAGGGAAATCCTACTCACTGTCTTCTCGTGGCATTACTGTTGTTAACGAAATTGAGAGGATGAAAAGCGAATGTCCAGCGCTTTACCCAGGTTGGTGGACACGGTAAACCCACCTAGGTGAGTTGGAAAACCCTCATTCCAAACCAATGGTGCACATGGGCTCCAGTATCCTGATGGAACGAATGGCGTATGAACCAATAGTTGGTCACCGGCTACCATGGGACTGCATCTCCTCACGATGCTCCACTGACTTGTGGATCAGACCTTTAGGTCAAAGGCTTGGGGTGTGGCCTCCTAAGAAAACCGCCTGCTTCAGTCTGGACACCTGGTCAGTATCACAGCCCTCACACAAATCAAATGAGATTTGTGCGGCGCATATTTATCTGGTGCTTTTTGTACCAATATTTATGTGTTTAGATAAATAAACATGTATGTGTACTCATTTATATATATATCCTCCCCTTAGAAATTTGAGCCATTATCGGCGAATTTCTCACTCCTATAAAATGTAAGCCAATTCTTGTTCAGTTGCGTACATCTACCATGTAGCCGATTCCTGTCTAACCCAGTGTTTCAAACTCGGTCATAAAATCTTACCCCATATGTATACTGATGAGCATAAGAATTTGTCACTCGGATTTTTTTCTTATTATATACGTTTTTCACTACTCCTTAATCTTTCTTTTGTTCTGTTACCTTTTTGTAGTATGGCGGAAGTTTAATTCGACCTCAGTCACCGCAGCGATTCGATATGATTCATGTGGATTTATCAGAAGAAAATGAAACAACACTAGATGATTTTGTCAAAGAATTAGAAAGTAAGATCCAATCAGTTGCAGTGAAGGTGTTTTGAAGGTTGAAACAACAGTGGAATGATAACACTGATAACAACAACGTTAACAGCAATGTTAACGAAATGGAAAGAATATTGTAGAAAAAACTTTATTTATTGAATTTATTATTATTATTATTATCATTATCATCGTTTTTCGATAAAAATTTATTATATTCAATGAATCATACCTGTTACATCATCATGTTTAATAAAGATAGTTCACTGAAGAAGACTGACTATTCGATGACTACACTTATTAAAGTTACACATTGGTATTTATAGTTAATTGACATCTATCAGAAAATTGTTAAGTCCTAAAAAGAGTCGATAAAATATTGATTAAAAATATTTTTACTTGATGTTAAGCAGGTGGAGGTGGTCAACAGGAGACTCTGGACCTAGCTTTTATCTTATTTATCAGCATAGATCACCTCCGATTTTGAGAGAACCGATGCTCCCTGTATGATTTGAACTTATTTCACTAAGTTTTACAGACTAATATATTGTCGCTAAGCTATTGGAGTTGCGACTTACATCCTGATATATTAACACTGATTGATTTTGAGTAGTGACCAATGTCATGTTTGTCTAGTTCTTTAAGTGTTGACTGAATTCCCTCGGTCAAATTACAGTTCAGTCACTCGCCTTATTGACTTGAAATCAGAAGTATAATGTAGAGATGTTAGTTGATTACAAGCAGTCACCTGGTAACCCTTTAGAAGGTCAATCGCCGTCTGACCAGCTCAGTAGTAACAGTTAAGTCAGTTGAGCTGGTGGACACAGATCTGAATCCATCAGAACACATGATTTTCCTCAAGATAGAAGGTATCACTTGTTAACATCCTCCTACTAGCACGAAACTCAGGCCAAACAGGGTTTTCTATAGACTACCTTCAACCGTCTAAAATTTCAACTCATTTTTTAGATTAGTGGTTACTTTGCAACTTGATCAACTGAACTCGATCAATATTTAAAGGGCTGGAAGTACGTGATATCAGTAACCACTCACTGACCACTCAGTTATATATTTTATTTATCGTGTATAAGTTGCTCAATAATTGGAGGGGAACGGAAGGAAATTAACAATGTTTAGGGATTTACTTAAGATAACTAATCATTTGGTAAGTGTAAGGAAGTGATGAATATACATGTTAGATAATCTTACGGAATTATTGAAATCCAACGACTGGGTGCTGGAACCACGGAAGAACGAAGTAATGTACATATCACGTCTAGCCACAGACACCAAAGTCAGGTTGGTGAAGTGTTAAAACCTCAGCAATTCATTAATTCTTTACAGATTTTCCTAGCCCGTTTGATTTTATCGATAATGTTTGAAGTTTTGTAGAGACAGATGACCTGAGTTGACCATACTTTCAACAGCATAACGATTGAGTTATTTGAATTCGTCTTTAGATAACTATGCTAAATAGTATTCAGATATCTATTTAGAAAAGACAAGCTTTGTTTGACCAATATAGTATACTCCATAGAAAAAAACATTCTGATAGATACATGTTAAGGTGGTTTAAACGCCAGGTTCTCGTTAATATGTCCTTGGATCAGCTATGTAGCGGAGAATTTCGTTTATAAATCAACTCAAAGTAGGTTTATTTTTAAGATTTTTACAGTCGTATCCGCTTAGCAAAATATCCCGGTGTTCCCTAATGCAAAGTGGTCAAACTCCGTATGAAACTGGAAAACGTTATTTAAATTTGAGAATTTTGAATAAATTAACTTCATGATACATTTAGTACTTGAATACAGTTATATTAAGATATCTGTTTACCATGTGCTGTTGATTCTTCTCCATTATTTGAGGTTGGATGATTGGACAAAATCAACCTAACCTAGGTTTCACAGTAGTCAGGAATCATCTACAAAATGTACTTGGAATTTTAAGTTAACAAACACTTTATCGTGGATTCGAACCCATTTCCCCAACCGTCATAGAATGAACTGTTATCACTTAGCTATCCAAGACACCTTAACCTTGTGTAAGAATTGAATCTCTATACTAATTTACATTTATATCTTATTAACAACTTAAATAACTGAAATCTGAACAGATTAACATTTGTGGGTGAATACGGTCGATTTGACAGCATCTCAATCAAGAAAGTGACTTATGAAACATACACTTATCTTTATCCACTTAACATTGTTTGAATCTTCTCACTGATGTTTAGGACTGCAATTGTTCAGTCTCTTATTGGCATATATGCATCCTGTGAGGACTGCTTCGATATTGCCTGAAGTCACAAGCTTTATAAGCAATGATGGAGCTTGTGACTCCAGGCAATATCGGGGTAGTCCGTACAGAATGCACATATGCTAATAAGAGACTGATCAATTGCAGTTCTAAATATTAATGGGAAGATTCAAACCAACAATATCAAGTGAATTTAAAACTTCATTCCATCGCACAAGCAAGTGGCTATCAGGACTCAGTAGCTAAGTGGATAACGCCATGGCGTTTGAAGTAAACGGTACTGGGTTTGCGTCCCAGAGTGAACGTCAACTATGAGATGCAGGAACATTCCGCTGGAGAGTTCCAAATAGAACAAAATGCGCGTCCTGTATTTTACCGCTAGCCACTATCCATCTTTGCTTATAAAGCTTGTGAATATACTTATCTGTTTTGCATTCTTTATCGATTGTTATTTTCATTATTAAACAGATAGGCTGATTTCTTGAAAACGTAAAGAAAAACCATGTTCAAATTGCTTACGATGAATTTAATCGTTTTCTTAAAATGGAACAAGGTTAATATCTCAATAAATAATCACTAAATTAATGGAACAATGTTATTGATTAATAAAGAATCACTTCAAAAAGATTAATTCAGAAACCACATCTACTTTAAATTACCTCCGAAATTCGACATTTTCATTATCAATCATGGTGAATATAGAACATTTACTTAAACCTTAAAAAACAAAAGAATGTTCCCTTCTTGTTACCATAGAAATAATTAACTTTAACAAAATACGCTCTAACCTGTCTCATTTTTTAAAGAAATTTCGTTGCTATGATTTAATTAATGTAACTTTATTTTTTAAATGTCATGACATTTTATTCCTTTCAAGTATTGAATTTAATCCACGATAAGAATTGAAATAGAAAATCAGAATGGAAGTAAATTTATTTATGCTATAAGGTTGCTGGTTAATTTGATACAGCCACATTGAATAATTAAATCATTCAGTGGTCTATCGGTTAAGTGCTCTCGCGCGAGGCTGATAGACTCTGGGTTCGAATCTCGTGAGGCGGGATGGTGGATGCGCATTGCTGAGTAGTCCTACAATAGGACGAAACGGCCGTCCAGTGCTTCCAGATTTCCCACGGTGGTCTAGTTTCAATCGACTCATGATTTAAACTATATATAAAAAATTACTAAAAATCACAAAAAACCTCATTCAGTAAAGAATTCGGTACAGACAAGCAAATGTGTTTATTAACAAAAGGGACAGAGGATATAAGTATATATTACAATATAAACAAACAGTAAACTGGATATGTTGTCTACATTCTTTGACCAATCATAAGCCATATGGTCTGAATATATGAAGTTGACATACTGAGATATTTATTTTTGTAATCAATTTAATGAAATACAAGCATTATTAAATCATGGTTCGAGAACGAACTGCCTCTTTAATGTAAAATAGTCTTTTATAATTCAAATGAATGGATTCAAGTATATTAATCTATAGGCTATGATTTATACGGTAATCTGAATTGGCTTCCAATATATGTTTATAATAAAATAACTTATAGAACAAGAAGAAGGAGATAACATAAACTATTCAAAATGTTAGTGAAGTGAATTCTGACAAACTATACTGTTAACATTCATGCTCCAAATTCTGAATTCATTGACTTGAAGTTATTTACTATTAAAATACATTATGAATTTGATAGTATCTTGAAAACTACTAGGTTTTTAAATCGCGATTACATATATTTCACTGGCTATTTTTGTTATACCAAACCGCTTGAATCCTTCAGTATCAAATCACAAAACGTAACTAACATTATACTTTTCAGAATAGATAAACTGTAGATAAACAGCCAAATCCTGGATCCGTGTTTCGTACTAACTGATACTCGTGATTAGATCCATTTAAAACTTAAGAAAAAAAAAAGAGAACCATTTCAGTGTATTCTAGATTTTTAACAGATTTGGCAATATTAATCGACCTTTGTATTCATAAAATGATTCATTACAATGCCAAATACTAACTGATTTTTTTAGTCATATGTTCTTTAATCTGTTATTCAATCATTTTAATAAGTTTTCTATGGTTTATTCATGTATTGATTTTTAAATGTTATTTCGATATTGTAATAAGAAAATGAAGATTATCAGAACTATGTGATTACATTATAAGCAAAGATGGTTAGTGGATAGCAGTGGAATCCAGTTTGACGCGCGTTCCGTCCTATTTGGGACTCGTCAGCTGGATTTACCTGCATCTCAGAGTTGATGTTCACTTTGGGATTCAAACCCAGATGTTCGGAGAAAAGAGAACAATAAAAGGAGTTGATTACTGTGGAACTAAAGAAACAATGAAGTTTATGATGATGGATTGACATTTCGCGGAAGAAACAGTGAAGTTGAACGTCTCGTATGCTAAGTGTACGTCGAGTTTGATGGTCTGGCAGTTCGACAGAGCTATGAAGGTCAACGCGCTGCAGAATCGATACTTTGACGGAGAGCATGGCACAGACTACAGAAAAAAAGTGGCACATTTTCCTAAGAGATTCTATAATTTTGTTTTTAGATTTATTTATTTATTTATTTAAACACATGAATATTGGTACAAAGGGGCACCAGATATATATGCACCGCACAAATCTCATTTGATCAATGTGAGGGCTGTGATACTACCCGGGTGATCAAACAGAAGCAGATGGTTTTCTTAGGGGGCCACACCCCGAGCCACTGATCTAAAGATCTGATCCGTAAGGCAGTGGAGCATCGTGAGGAGATGCAGTCCCATGGTAGCCCGTGA